AGAGAAAAAGAGAGAGAGAGAGAGAGAGAGAGAGAGAGAGAGAGAGAGAGAGAGATGGCAGAATGTTCAACCACCCCTAATAAATGTGTGGGGGGGGTGGGTTCTATTTATAGCAACACTAATCAGACGATGTTCATCCTGTCACTAGGGGTGACCATGGGCCAGTACGGTCCGAAGATTGACAAATCTCCGAAACTGTACCGATGTTCGAAGATTACTAAAATTCAATCTCCAAAATCGTACCAAAAAATCAGTTCGGTTCGGTTCATATATTATCATTTTTCAGTTCGGTTCGGTTTGGTTCTCGGGACTATCAGAACTGTTTGGTTCAGTTTAGTTTGGTTCGGATATTCAGAGATTTCTAATTATTTTTTTAAAACAAAAAATTGAATGGCCACCTAGTTGTATTTTAATTTTTATATTATCCAACATTAATCAATACTTTATCATACTAAATATTTTATTTTAAATCAAACGCAGAAATAACTCTAAATTTTAGTTAAGACTAAAGTTATGCAAGTTATATTGAAAATTCAAAATTCAAACAAATTATAATATAGTTTTTTTATTAAAGTAATATTTATTTTACCTTTCTTACCATTTTAGTTATAAGATAGAATAAGACTTTTTTTTGCCGGAACGATAGAGATAATATATATAACAACCAAGCGAACCAAGTTCGAATACAAAGGGACCGAGTCCAAAGAGAAAAATGAGAGGTACAAAAGCAAGTACCTAGAACCTCAAACTAAAACAAACAAAAAAACAGAGATAATGCTTCTCTCCACACAGACAATTACAAGAACAAACCAAAAAAACTGAACCAACACCTACTGCTATAAACTCTTCCAACCAACTGAGGAGCCTGCAGCAGAAGAGAATTCCAGCCAGTCTTTTTGGGCTGCAGCCACCACAATGTGGGTTAGGCATGAGAGCTTTGCTAAAAACTCAAAGGTTTCTAGATTTCCAAAGCCACCACAATAAGTAGGTGGACAATTGGATCCTCTCTTTTACCACATCAGATTGTTTGATTGAGCTAACTTGGTTCCACCAGCCTTTGAAGAAATCTGTATAATTAGTGAGTCCATCCCACATCACTGGTGCTTTCTCTCAGACTCTTTTGGATCTGGAGCATTGAAAAAGCAGATGAGCAACAGTCTCAAGGTATTCTCAACATGTAGGACAGATGGCTTCAATCTCCACTCCTCTCTTTTGCAAGTTCACAGCAACAGGGAGTGTATCAGAGATACATTTCCATAGAAAGTGCTTGATCTTCCCTTGAACTTTTTGATTCCAGCACCTTTGAAACAAATGGTGATGCTGGTTGCTTCCCATACTGGATTCTGGGATGTCCATTTTGCTTACCTTCTGAGCTGCTAACAATTTATAGGTACTAGCCACTGTAAACAGGCCTTTTGGATCAATGCCCCAAAGCCACCTATCAGGCCTTTCTGGTTTGAGAGTACCTATCTTTAGAATGGCTTGACTATCCTCAGGATCAAAGACTTGCTCAACCAACCAATCATTCCATTCCCTCCCATCACTTTGCAGCAGGTATTTTACCCAAACTAAATGCCCTCTAGCTATGTCAATCAGAGAAGGGTGGGGCTTTTTCAAGTTTGGAACCCAATTAACGTCTTCAATTGGTTGAGGAACCATCTCTGATTCCAATCTTGATGCATTTGGAAAATAGAGGCATCACTGAGAGCCAACTGTTCCATAACCATGACCCCTTTTGTGTTTTCTCAGCCTTATAAATGGAGCAATTAGGGAAATATCTGTCTTTCATTATTTGACTCACCAAAAGGTCAGGGTTTGTTGCAATCCTCCAGAGTTGTTTGCAGATAAGAGCTTGATTGAAGAGAGTCAAGAGATTGATATCCAGAAAACCAAGTCCTCCTTACAGCTTAGGAATTGTGACTTTTTCCCATCCCTTTTAATGAATGCAGAGTCATTTTGATCTCCAGATTTCCACCAAAAATTTGCACAAAGCCTTGAAATTTCTTTACAAATGGACACTGGAAGTTTAAAGCAAGTCATAGAGAAAATAGAAAGAGCTTGAATCACTGATTTCAGCAAAACTTCCTTACCAGCAGGTGACAATAGCTTGTTCTTCCAGTTCTGCAGTTTTGATCTTATAGAGTCCAAGATGTAATCAAAGACCTCCTTCTTAGATCTTCCAATACCCAAGGGAAGCCCTAGGTACCTTGTGGACCTGTGAGGGACTATTCCATGGAGGACATTACAGATTCTGTCTCTTAAAGCTTGTAGGGTGTTCCTACTGAAGAAAATGCTGGATTTTTGCATATTGACCCTCTGTCCAGAAAACAACCTTTATTTCTCCATCAGTGATAAAAGATGTCCTGCTTGATCAGCACCTGCTTTGCAGAACAAAAGAGAATCATCTGCAAATAGCAGATGGGATAAAACAGGACCATTTCTAGAGAGTTTAAGTCCTTGGATGAAGCTTTGCTGCTGAGAGTTTGTGATCATGGCTAACAGAAGTTCTGCTACAATTATGAATAGGTAAGGGGACAGAGGGTCCCCTTGCCTAATTCCTCTTGAGGGTTTGATATAGTCACTAACTTTGCCATTCACTTTGAAGGAGACAGTAGAGGCACAGATCATGAGCAACTTAACAAAGTCTGGGTGGAAACCCATTTGCTTCATAATCCTCTGTAAGCATTGCCACTCTACTCTGTCAAAGGCCTTCATAAGGTCCAGCTTTAATGCCATGAAGTAGTTTGGACCTGTGGAGTGTCTGTTAAGGTAGTGAAAAGCCTCCTGTGCTATGATTATGTTGTCCATAAGTTGTCTGTCCTTCACAAAAGCTGATTGATGGGGGCTGATGCAACTGGTAAGACATTTCATTAATCTCTGGGCCAGAACTTTAGACAAAGTTTTGTAGATAACACAACAGAGGCTTATAGGCCTGAATTGGTTCAAGGACTCTGGCAGTGGAACCTTTGGAATCAAAGACAGTATGGTATGGTTCTAGTATCTCAAAAGCAAGCCTGATTGAAAGAAACTAAGCATGGCTTCCATAATATCATTCTTGATCAGATTCCAGAAGTGTTGATAGAACAATGCATTCATTCCATCTTCCCCTAGGGATTTTTCAGGATGGAGGGAGAATAGAGCAGCTTTTACTTCTGCCTTAGTAACTGGCTTCAGAAGATCTTGATTCATGTCCTCAGTTATAGTTGTAGGGATAAGATGTAAGATAGAGTCTCCATCCCAACTTCCTTCTGAGTGGTACAACTCTGAGTAAAAATCAGCTATGTGTGATTCAATATCAGCCTGAGATGCTAGAGTTGTACCTTGAGTTGTGACCAGTCTTGAGATTGTATTTTGCTTTCTTTTTTGGAGAGTGTAAGCATGGAAGAATTTCGTGTTCGCATCCCCTTCTTTCAACCATTTCAGCCTTTATTTTTGTTGCCAATAGAGTTCTTCATTTCTGTGAGCTGTATTAAGTTCCCTCCTTGTGTTATTCCACTGTTCCCAATAATTTTATGCTTGATCCTCCCTCAGAATTTCCAACTTCTTAGTAAGAACTTCAATAGTTTGCTGATTTTGAGATTTAAGCTGAGAGCTTCATATGAGATTTAAGACTAATATCCACAAATTTAAGTAGTGTTTCAAAAATTATTTTTGAAAATAATATTTCTTTAACCATTCATACCATTAAAAACATATTTTCCCAAAATTAGTACGTACCCATGATGGCTGTACATTTGACATAAGGTATAATGAAAAGGTTTTTATGTAAAGTAGACATCATGGAAACCAATTCAAGTGAAGCAAAATACATAGAAAAGTATGGAGATGAAATGAAAAGAGAGAGAGAGAGAGAGAGAGAGAGAGAGAGAGAGAGAGAGAGATGCATCAAAGTATAGTGTTGAAAGAGAGAGGAGGGGACAAGTGACGGATCGCTGTAGTACGTAGGGGTCGTCTGATATCATGTGAAGAAACAAGCAGGGAACAGTGTTCCAATAGCCTTTAGTTATATATATGATCATATGGGCATTTAATGAACGATGCATTTATTTAATGAATGATACATGGCAAATGGCATAGCCATAGAGCATAGGCTGATAGCCCCTCCCCCCCTTCTCTCCTTTATTTTTCCTCTCTTGCCATTTGTTTGAATTGACCCCAATATAGTGTACCTAAACAAAATCTTGTGATAGTTCAAGAATTAAATATTTTTTTTTTTTTTTGAGTAAAATGTAATTTTAGTCATGTATGTTTAACTAACATAACTTTTTCGTCTTCTTCGAATTGCGTTTTTTATTTTTATCCCGTATGTTTGCAAAAATGTTACAAAAATGTCCTTTTTGTTTTGCAAAAGAAAGTTTCAATTTCGTCTCTTATGTATGAAAATGACCCTTTTGTAACATTTTTGCAAACATATTGGACGAAAACAAAAAAGGCAATTCGAAGAGGGCAAAAAAGTTAGAATAATGAAACATACATGACTAAAAATACAATTTACTCTTTTTTTTTTTGAAAATATTTTTAGAATACTAATATTAATTTATTTTTTTTTTTTTTGGGTACAAATATTAATTTATTTCATTCATGCTACTACTGCAATACAAAAACAAAAGGTGTCTCTATGGGAGATGTTACTGTCCGGAACCATTCAGTCAAACTAATTATCTCTGAATGGTTACAAAATCCGACAGAATGGTTCCGTATAATAGCATTTCCAATCTCTATACACTATCCAGTCCGTACTTCTCTCTCTCTCTCTCTACCCCACCGAAAATTATTAGACTCGTTCAAAAAGCTCATACCACCTTTTTTTTTTGTTCTCCAACTCTCTGCTTCTTCTACCTGTTACCACACAACAATTTTATTTACTTACTTCTTCTTTTTTTTTTCACTGCTCTCTTTCCCTCTCTCAAAGTCCAAAGCATATATAGAAAAAAAAATACACTACATATATGTTTTTTGGTTTTCCAGCAGAGTGTATTTGGTAGGGAATTATAAAGAAGATGATGAATAGAGGGCTGCGGCTGCCGGCCCTACTGACGGCGGCGATATTGATCGTCGCCCTGGTCGGCGGCCAGTGCAGGTGCTCGAGAACTACGATAAATGCCTTCAGAATCAGACACAAAGGGCAAAATGGTCATAATCCAGCCGACGGCCATAGTTTCTTCCAGTTGATGCCCAAGAGATGGGTGCCGGCCTCCGCCCCCTCCAGGAAACACAATGACCTTGGCCTACAACGTCTCACCTTTCCTTAATCAAATACTTGATTAATGCCAACCTGGCAAGAAGCCCCATATATTGCTATTTTTTTTTATTATTTTCTTTTTTTTTTTTTGGCTTTTTCGTGGAAAATTAGGATGATCTCGTGTATGTTTTGAATGGGTAAATTTGTAATTTGAACTGTGTTAATATGTTGTTCTCTTGTTTGGCGTGGTGGTATTTTGTGGACTACAATTAATGCATGCAGTTTTAAAATGATAAATGATAGACTAATTTAAATCTCTTTTGTTTTTCCTTTTTCTGATGTTTTTATGTATGCCAAATTTTTTGGTATTCATCATTTGAATTTATTGCAGCAGGTTGCTTGTTTTTTTTTTTTTGCAGTTTTACGCAGGCTAAATTTCATTTTTAGTCCACTATGTTGACCATTTTCTGAAAAGGTCCATCATATAGGGTGTCATCAATAATGATCCACTAAATTGTCACTTTTAATCAAAATTCGTACAATTGCCAACATGGTGTACTAAAAGTTACACTATGTTGGAAATTGTACGAGTTTTCATTAAAAGTGACAATTTAGTGGACCGTTATTGATGACACTCTATATGATGGACCTTTTTCGGAAAATGGTCAACATAATGGATCATTTTTTAAATTTTGCCGTTTTACGCACGTAACGCCATATTTCTCTTTCTTTCACCCTTTCCCCAATTTATGCTTCATTTGGATTTTCTCTCCTTTTCTTTTCTTTATTATTATTATTATTATTATTTTTTGGGACCAAAAAAAATAAAAAAGATATAGAGACTAATGAATACCAATTATTTCAGCAAGTAATTGTTGGTCTTGTTAAGTAGTCCACTCAAATTTCAATTATTTTGTACATGTTATAATTATAATGTGCTGATCAAAGTAGAATATACAGCAAAGTAACGCCTTGGAATCCGGAAGAGTGATTAATGTGATTATAATAACTTCAATTACGTATATAATGATTTCAGAAAAAAAAAAAAATGGGAATCTCACATATAGATTGTTAACAATATATCCTACATAATCATAGTATCACAGGGATAAAGCATTGATAGATGGTGATTGTGATCGCATATCACTTATTATTACCTGCCACTGCATTATCTATCATAATTCATAAAGTTTACAAATTTCACAAGAAATAATAGCTTATCCTCTTTAATTTGCTGAATTTTTGAAATAATTGGTTGAACATGTATTACAACCAAATAATATTTTAATATTTATATATATATTTTTATGTTAGCGGAGTAAAGCAGTTTTTTTTATTATATATAATATTCAACTAGTTAGTTTATTTTTATTTTTTTTATATTAAACTTCTTATATTCGTAACTTTTTTTTAAGCTAATACATACTCCTATTGGCAAAAAAGTTCTCTCCTTTGGCGAAACCCTCCCCCAAAGAACCTTCGGCGCGCACCTCAACTTTTCGGCAGATTCGCCTTCCTCGGTGACCAGGGGTCATCGATAACTGTCTCGGCCTCCCTTGACGACGCGCGACTCTGATTCTCGGTGGATGGGCCTCTGTTGGGATGCTGGCTCTCGGATGCAGACAGGGATTTAGTTGGTGGCGTCCTTCCTGGTCGGTGCTTGGTGGTGGAGTCCCTCCGTTGCCGGCGATACTCCGATTAGTGGTGGTAAGTTTCTCTTTTCTCTCTTGTCTGCGATTGCCGGGACGTTTCCGGCGGAGCTCCGTCTTTCAGGTAGGTTTGAACCTCTGGTCGGGGTGTCTGTGGAGATGTCTGGCAGTGTGCGGGTCTATGGGTGGTCGGGACTCCGGTGGCTGGTTGCGGTGGTCGGGGTGAGAGCCGTTTTCTCTCGCACAATCCCCCGTTTCACTAGTGCTGCTAGGCGGCGGTGGAGGTTCTATCGGCCTCATCTAGTGGTGTTAGAAGAGTATCGGGTGGAATCGGTGTGGGATGGACTATGGCTCTCTCGGTTTTTGATGGGTCGATTCAGGGACTGGTTCGGGGTTAGGTTTCTTCTACTGTATATGCTTGATTGCAGTTTCAGTAGCAGGTTTTTGGCCTGGATTTGTCTTGTGTCGATCGTTCACTGCTGGTTCGGTCTAGCTTGTTCGCTGGGGAAGGGCTGTTAGATTATTTTAGTTTATTTGTTTTCATATTTGTGTTGCGCATGTCTTGTGTTTTTGGTTTGGGTCGTTGGCCCCTGTGAGCTCGAGTGTCAAACTTATTATCCTGTTGGGATCCGACACTCGAGTTTTACCATGTTGGGTCTTTTTTAGTTGTTTTAGTTGTTTGAGTAGTTGGTTAGTTTAGTTGCGGGTTTTTATTCTAGCGTTGCTAGTCGAGATTCTAGGCGGTCTTCTGACCTGTCCTTCCACGTTTCCACTGTTGGTTGTTCTCATTCAACTTGGAGCTGCTTGTATTTGCACATTTGTGCGCTTTTGATTTATAATAATATCTACCGTTTTGGAAAAAAAAATACATACTCCTATTCTTTTTAAATATCATTCTGGTTTTATCAACTATACCAATAAATTATGTTTCAGATTTTTTGTACATATTTTTCTATTATTGCACTCATTTAGCTAATAAATATATTACGTATTTTCGTAATCACTCTTCATCTTTTCACAGAACATTCATTTGTATCTTCATTAAAGAGGGTTATTATTGGCAAAAAAAATATTCTTAATTATCGTGCAACTTCTCAAAACAACACTTATTATGAATAGGAGGGAATATGTTTTTAAGAAAAACAACACCCCAGAAGAGAGGGAAGGTCGGAACCCCAACCTGTATATAAAAAGACCCTAAATGGGCTGAAAAGTCACAAGTATGCAGGTCCAATGTCCGATATTCATATATATATACATGAAGCCAAACGAAAACAAAAACAGAAACAAGAAAAGATAGTATAAAAAGCTGACAACAACAGCGAGTAACACAAAAAAATCAGATACTAGTCCGACAAGAGTCCAGGCGAAAAGTCAGCATCACGGGAGAGCAGATGCTCCAAAAGGTAGGACACGCTACACAAATCTGAATAAAGGGTATCCCATCTGATCCATCCGTATATTGTAATGGAGGCAGAGAGGAATGTCGTCAGGATAAAGAATGTGCATCTGGGGGGTGGAGGACTCGATGCCAGCGAAGAAGTCAGCAGGCTGGTTCCCCACGCGGAATATGTGCGAAATTTGAAAGCGAGTCGACCGAAGTGTGGCTCTTATACGTATGAGCGGATGATGAATTTTCCAAGTGCCCTGTTGGCCAGAGGTCAATGGAGTGATGACAGTGACAACGTCCAACTCTATCCAAATGTGACAGGAGATCGAGGCAGCATTCTGAAAACTGATCTGAAGCGCTTGAACCTCCACATCATAGATCGAGGAAGTCTGAAGAGGGGCATGGAAAGACGGTAATAAGAGTACCGCTATGGTCCCAAATCAGGCCCCTACCTCTGGCAGCTCAAGTAAGTCAGTCCAAGGATCCGTCAGTGTTTAGTTTAACCCAAGAAGGCTCAGATCTCAGCCAAACAATAGCTCTGGGGCGTGGATGCTGCACATGCAGAAGTCAAGATGGTGCAAAGTGATAAAGTGGTGTGCAGCCTATCTAGTCTCTCGACGTGAGTCTACCTAGAGTGATGAGGAGAGATAGATGTCTGCCAACCTGTAAAATAATATGGGAGCAAAATATATATATATATATATATATATATATATTTCTATGCTTCGCATTATTTCTTTATGTCCAGATGGACCAAATGATCAGACAAGGAATAAAGAAACCCATATGTCTATCGTGTGTCCTCTGTGTAAGAAAACTCAGAAATTCAAAGACGTCATCTGTGGTGGGTAGGGGTATATTGGTGTAACTGTGATATGGCGTTTAGAATGTGGATTAAAGAACCACAGGTGAGTTCAGCCGGCCGAGCTAACCCAGAACCTTCGGTGGTTGCGATGTTAGCCACCATGTTGGGAATCTAAATGAGCTTGGTCTATGGGTTTGGGAATCAGGTAACTGTAAGGTAGAGGTTTTGGCTATCAGGAAGCCAATGCTCGTCAAAGAGTGGGGGATTTCCCAGGGGTAGCTCGGCAGGACTGAGAGAAGGCTCGGATGATGGTGGCCAAGATACCATCGGAAGGAAAGCCGAGGTGGTGTGTTCGTGCGGAGACGGGACTTTCGAAGTCTCATCAAAGATGTTGGGTTCGGATAGAACTCTGCGATGGACGAGTTCTCTAGGGAGAAATGGGCAAAGAGAGGACTCTCATATCTAAAGCCCTATTACGCAGGGACTCCTGGGTCTATAAAAGGGAAGGTTCTTTTATCTTTACAGAAGAACACACGTGCATATTTTTTTATATACCACCGTTACTCGTCTAAAAACCCTACTGACTTGAGTGTCGGAGTGTTCACACCGGGACCATCCCCGAAGTGTTTTGCAGGTATCCGCGATTGATAAAGTTTAACCCGGTTTGAGAAGAGCGGTCGAGCGGTTTCACTAAAACAAACAGGAATAATGCCCCACACTCTCCTCATAGTCTCGCTTTCAAGAAACAAATGGGTGAAGGTCTCAATCTGAAATCGTTTGTCTCAGCACAACATAGCAACGTGAGGGGAAGGAGAACCCCTTCGTCTGCATCACAGTATCAATCGGTAGACGGCACAGAAGAAGGCGCCATAGGAAAACAGAGATGGTCGGGGTAAGTAGGCCGGTCCAGATGGCCCCTAAGAGAAGGTTAGGCTGGTCACCCAGCCGTACTTCCCCCCAAGCAGAGATCGTAGAGAATTCACTCAAAAATATAAGTTTCCACCTCATACCGTCCAATTCGTCCTTCGAGATAGGTATCTGTTGGATCTCATATATCACCTGGTCACTAAAGCCCGCTCCAGTACCCAGAATCCTCTCTAACCTAACCATATCCCATCTCCTTTCCGCCCACAGGTCCTTCACCTGTAGAAAGGGAAGGTGGGTAACCTGTCTAGTGCTCGAAAGGAAACCCTCATCAAACCACCACTCATCCCAAAAGCTAATGTCCCCTTCACCCTGAGTCCAAAGTATGTGCTTCTAAGCACATTTACCAACCATGGTGAGCCGCCTCCACTGTCTGCTATCGCAGGCGATGGTTGTCACCCTACAGGGGTAGACATCACCTCCAGGACAGTACTTTTGACGAAGATACTGGGCCCAAAGTGACTTACACTCCTTAAAATGCCACCACATCTTATAAGAGAATGCAGTGACTACATCCGAAAAGCGCCGGATCCCGATGCCCCCCTTAGAGAAGAGGCGGCAAATGGAGTCCCACTTCACCCAGTGGACCTGTCTTCCTCTCCAGGAGCCCTCGCCATGCTCCCAAAAATAACGTACCAAGATCTGATCTAGCTCATGGATCATAGACTGGTGGGGATCGAGGGCCGTAAGGAGGTGAAGCGAGAGGGCGCTGAGGTGCTTTTAATCACAGCAAGCCAAACTCCAAAAGAGAGGTGTCTGTGGGACCAGCTGAAGATCCAGTCAATCGTCCTTTGTCTTACGCCAGTAAAGTGCTCATGAGAAAGATGGCCCTTGTACAGGGAGGCTCCAAGATAGGTGATGGGAAGGTCGTCATGCACAAAACAAGTGTGCTCGTGGACCAAAATGGCCCACTAGTCCGCAATGTGATGATCAAAGGTGAAGATGCTCTTTTGCACATTGCCAAGATGATCGATAACCGAGCTAAATGCCCCAGGAGGCACATGAGCTCAGCTAGTCCATTATTATCCGCGCGAGTAAAAATAATAATGAAATCTGCATAAGAAAGGTGCGATATGGGGGGACCATAGCCATGCGTGCTATAGGTCATCATCAGCAAATCGCGAATGAAGTCGTCAAGGCAACGAAATATGTAGTCCACCGTCAGGACAAAAAGGGAGAGAAATAGGGGATCCCCCTACCGAAGACCACGGGTGGAAGGGAAGAAGTCAGTGGGGCTACCTTTAACTAGAACCGAGAATGTGCAGTGTTCCACGCACGCCTCCATAAAACTAATTCAATAGGAAACCCATCCAAAAAAAAACTTCCATGAGAAACAGCCACTCGACCGTAATGCCATTAGTCATATCTAGCTATAGCACATGGTTCAAGGCTCGTAACCTGTTCGCATGGGAGATGTCGTGGACCATCTCTTAGGCCAAAAGGATGTTGTTGTTGATGACCCGATCCTTGATGAAACTACTTTTGTTCAGAGAGACGAGGGAAGGAAGGAGAGGGGCAAGAGACCGTTAATAATCTTAGAGATGAGCTTACTGGTCACATTACGAAGGCTGATAGGTCTATAATCGGACAATGAGCTTGGGCCAGGTCTCTTGGGTATCAAAACAATAGAGGTTGTTGGGAAGGACTATTGCTTCTGGTGACTCGAGTAGAGATCCACCACAGTTTCCTCATCGTCAGTCTCAACAATCTCCCAGCAGGCCTGAAAGAAGAGAGACGAGTATTCGGGCAAGAAACACTGTTGGGATCTATCCTAAAAACAGCCTCCCTGACCTCTCCTCCCTACTCAGGAGATCACAGAGGTCAACATGGTCAACCAACCGCGGGATGGTAGGGAAAAAATGAAGCGTTAGGGGGCGTAAACAAGTCCCGATCTGAGGTGAAGAGGGACAGGAAGTGTGTCACAGCTGACTCCCATTTCTGGGACTCCTGAGTCAAGAAAGACCCTCTATCCTTGATACAATGGATATACGAATTAACCTGCCTCATAAACCTCAGAAAGTACTTGGTATTATGTTTCCCCTTAGCAACCCAGCACACGGCAGCCTTCTGCTTCAAGAAATCCTCCTCCATAAGGAGACAAAGCTGGTACTTAACGTGGCAGCGGCGCATCAATTCTCTGGAGATGAGTCCTATTCATAATCTCACTCAGCATCCGCACACGCACTCTAAGCTGCAGCAAGGCGCTGAGAAATGTCCCCAAAAACCGTCCAATTCCACTGCTTCAGACTGCACCGTAATATCTCGAGCTTCGCCTCCAGTTTGTGCATCCCAAAAAGCCCTCGTCGGTTGCTTCCAGAAAACCCTAAATGTTTCATGGAATATGTGGTGGTGGATTCACGTGTTTTGGAACCGAAAGGAGGAGCGACAGGGGGGGTTTGAAAACTGACACCAATAAGGAGAGCGTTATCTGATTTAATTCAAGGAGGTGTGTGATGGTCGTGACCACAAACACCCTCAACCATGCCTCAGAGACTAAAGTACAGTCGATTCTCTCCTTGACTCCGGCCCACTCCTACGTGAATGGTGAACTTTCTTATCCAGCGTCAATTAACTCGCAATCCGCCACTGCTTGAGACCAAATCTAAGATCTCCGCGGAGCGGTCCGACTGGCCACCAACGCGCTCACAAAGATAAAGAAATATGTTAAAATAACTGCTAACCATCCACGTAATTCCTTCATGCTTTCAACAATCTCAACCATGGTGTCCCACAGATCATAACGACCAATGCTCGCACAACTAACATAGACCAGGGTGTGGAAGATTAGTTTCGAGATATTGGCAGCAGAGAGCTCAACGTGCAGGACTATTCAGGGTCACGGATGATCGGACCGGTAAAGTCACGCGAGTGAAAGAACCAAATCTTATTAGAAACGTTTCTCATGCCAGAGTGAAAACCAAGGAGAAGTGAGTATAAGTCAAGCGAAGGGTTACGGGTCATAGGCACTTGAAAAGTAGCAAAGTCAAGTCTATGGTCACGAAAAAGGGAGTGAATGTGAGCTAGAGTGGCCCTATTAGACAGGCCACGAGTATTCTAGGTTAGGGATGTGACTGACATATAAAATGTCAAGGTGCCATCTAACTGGATGTGCCCGTGGCTAGGCTGAGTCTCTCTATCAAAAAGGTAAGGCTCGGTTGACCGAGCACTGAGCGGTCGTAGATTTGGTCTGAGGAGGGTGGAGGTCTGGGATCTCAAGGGTGGGTTCTTCTAGGTGAGTCAGTGGCTCTGAAGTAGCATCAAAACACAGATGAGCCCTTGTTCCTGCAACGGGCAGGGCCCGATCATGGGAAGGTTGTTTATTGTTTTTTTTGTTTATTTTTATGTGTTTTTGTGTGCTTTCGAGTCGATTTTAGGTTTATTTTAGTGTCGACCGGTCCATTTTGTCGTTTATCGTGTGTTTCTATGTTTTTCTTATTTATTTTCTATTTTGGCGTACTTGTTCGTGTTTTGGGTATAAATTTCAGGTATATTCCGAGGATGGAGATGGAGAGTCGAGCCACATTCCGAGCGACGAGCATGTCCCGAAGAAGACGAACCTCCGAGAGTTCCGAGCCTTAGTTGATTCATGCCAAAGTTTCCAGCCGTCCCTCAGCACCTCGAGCGCTCGCGAGCTCGCATACACATCCGCGCTATCGAGGGCTTTGCAGCACCAACATGACCGCACACTCGCACGCTCGTCCCCGTTTCTGCGACCTCGAGAGCCTCTGCCAGCCGTGCCGCGTGCCCGCCACACTTCCCGCGACCTCGAGAGCTCCCGTCCACTGCCGCCCAGCACATGCCGCGAGCTCGCCACTGGAACCGCGCGATCGAGAGCACGCTGCCCAGCACTTCTCGCACTCGCGCGCTCGCGAGTCTCTCCGCGAGGTCGAGAGCATGCCTTCACCGTGCGCAACCGTCCATCCTCATGCCGCGTGCTCACGGATTTCACAGCTAGGTCGAGAGTGCCCCTTTTTAATGTGCGTGTTCTAGTGTGTGTTGGGGCTAGAGTATAAATATTTTTGTTCCTTTGCATTTTGGAGATCATTCTCTCATTTTTTCACTTTTTCTCTTTCGGAAATTAGTTTATGTTTTATTTTTGCTCTCTAGATTAGGAGCTTATGCTATTTTCCGGGAGATTTTCCGGCGACTTCGGTTTTGTTCAAGTTTCGACCTTTTGACTCTGTTTTTCATCGTCTACGCAATGGGAGAATGAGTATTTAGTTTTAAAGCTCTTTACTTCGGTTTTTGCTCTGGTTTACTTATAATGTTCATTAGAGTAAAGTTGGATTTGATTGATGATGGTGGAAATGCTTGAACTTGATTGCTTGCTTCAGTAGATAGAGCCGTTAATTGCTTGTTGATCTCGGTTAGACGACTAAGGTTAGCAATCTAATGCTCGTAGATTGTTTATTCCGTTTGTCGATTGATTATCATCCCGATATGGTCATGGCATGAGACTCCGGTTATCTAGTTTGCTAATTGCTCGTCATTTGATCTTGCTTTTAATTAATTGCTCGTTTTTAAGTGCTCATTAGTGTTAAT